GGGCGGGGGGACGGGGCTGGCCGAGCTGCCACAATGGGAGCACAGCAACGCCACCAATTAAGGGCACCTCCTTCATTTGCTGTCTCATTTGGAGGAGAGGACGTGTGGGCTGGAGTGGAGGCACCGGTGACCGATGGGGATGCTGGTAGGGAGGACGGTTTTGTCTGGGGGTACCAGCATCCCCCATCCCCTTGTCTGGTGCATACTGGGGGTCTCAGACGTGTGTGCAAGTGCAGTGGGTTCACAGGTACCAATGGAGACCCCTGAACCTCCAAATCTGCTCAGGGCCTGGCCCTGCACAGACAAGCCCCAGTGCTCCCACCCTTCTTGGCCAGTGTATGCAGCCACCGGTGCTGAAGTGTGGTCCCCCAGTGCTGGTACCCTCCAGCAGCCCCCGGGATGCCTCCTCTGCCCCATCCCTGCCCTGCCGGGTCTCCCCATCCCTTCCCAGCAGCACACAGAGGGGGTTTGGCAGGCCAAGCCCACAAAGGGATGGTCCCTGGGATGCCATTCGTGAGCCCAGCGTCACCCACAGCATGGTGGGAGCTGCGGTAACCCAGTGACACTCCCTTTGCCATCACAACAGGCTCCTCCATGGGCACAGCTGCCAACACACCAGCTAACGTCGAGTTCCTTTTATTAAGGAGTTTAGAAAGTCCACATGTACAGCGTTGGACACCACTCACACACGACCTAGACTTCACAGCACTGCTACACACCACGACCTGGCCCAGGGCTCCACCAGAAGGTACGTGGCCAGGTCCCAGACCACCCCCCCTCAGGCCATCCCTCCCCAGGGAGGTGTCACCACGGATGGGTTTAGCCTAATCCAGGGCTGTGGCGCTCGGAATAATCCTGGGAAATCCCACATCTTGGCATGGGTGAAACACCTCTCGTGCAAGTCAAGACAAAGCCGTTAGGGAGTCCTGGGTGACAGGGGCAGGTACACAAGGGTGTGCTACTGACGAGCTGCACGTACAGCACCCCCTCCCAGCACTGAAAACCACTGGCGGAGGGGTCCAGGGAAGGGATGAGCCTTCCCACCCGGACACACGTCTCTGTGTGAGGCCTTGGCCTGAAGATGAGCACTAGAAAACCCAGCTACAGCTAATCCGTGGAGATTAATGGACAGAAAGTAAAGACGGGCGTTCTGCTCCCTGCCTGCACACAGCCCATTCCAAAGGGGTCCGGCAGCGCACAGGGGGATCCTTGGAAGCTGCTCTTGTGCTGCCTGGGAAATGCCACTGCTGAGCATCCCCAGATCCTATGGTTTGAGCATCCAGCCTGGACGGCTGCTCCGGACGGGGATGGAGCAGGTACAGATGGTGCCTGTGCTCGGAGCTTGTCCTTGTCCACAGGCTCAGAGGAGCATCTTTGGCAGAGGGGGAAGCTGCGGTGATCCCGAATGCATCATTTGTCCCCATTTTCCTGCCAGAACAGACAGGCAGGTACTCACCCAGCAGGAGAAAGGGGCTTGTCCAGCACAGGATCCGAGGTGGGGAAGGCTTAAAAGAAAGGAGAAGCACGCAGGGAAGATGAGCCTTTGATCTCCCCATGCCTTAAGCTGCCCTGGAAACAGGGATGGTGGGAGCTTTCCTCCCACCCTCAGGCAGTCTGTCTGTCTGGCGGTGTCTCCTGGGGCCAGGGCAGGGCTTCTGCTCCCCGTTGCTGCTGTAGCACAGGCAGAAAATCATGTAGGCTGTCCTCCTCCCTGCTCTGTTCCCATAGAGCCCACTCAGGCCGGGTTGTTTGGGGGTTATTTTTTGGACAAAATCCCTCATTTGAGTCTTTGCAGGGGGCCAGAGGGAGAATTGAGCCCACACCTTGTAGCAGCTCCTCCTTGGGTTGGCTGGTGAGAAGCATCCTTCGCCTGTGCCTGGTTATCAGGGCCCTGCAGATGCTAAGCCCCACTTGGGGCTTCTTTTTGCAAAACCTTAAAGGGATTTGAAGAAATGAAAGGCTTTGATTATCTGCAGGTGCTGAGCCAGAGCACAGCTCATCCTGGGTGGAAATGAATGCGGTTCCCCAGGCTGGGAGCGAGCAGAGCTTGGGATGTGCTGTCCCAAGCCAAAGGTTTTGGGAAAGGTCACAGCTTTTGGATGATGAAAGTTCAACGTGAATCCGAGTGGGTCTGGTTGGGAGGGAAGAGCTGCAAAATGCAGCAGAGCTGTGCTGGGAGCCTTCCTCTCCTCCTCCTCCTCACTGTGCTCCCCGTTTCAAGCTCTGCTAAAACAGCTCCATGGTGCTCAGTTCTGGGTCCTTGCAGCACCACGCCAGGGGCAATGGGGGCTGAGGAGTTGGTGGTTGTCTCTTTGTAGCTGCATTGTCTTGCAGGGGAAGAGGCGAGTGTATTACAGACCGGAGAGAGAATCACTGGCACAGTCTGGTGCCTGCACAGGCTGCAGCACAGCCGAGCCCTCCCCATCCCAGTAGCACCATGGGGTGAGCTGGGACCCTGGAGCAGCAGCTTTCTCCTGTGGGTTCTGTGGCGCGCAGGGCTCCTTGTGGTGAGTGTCCCCCAGTCCCTGTTCAGCTCAGTGAGGCCACTGCCGGGTGTCTGTGCCCGAAGCAGAGATGAATGGAGGTGTCCCGTCTGTCCAGGCTGCTGCATCCCTGCTGCCTCCCTCCTCTTCCTTGCCAGACCTCGCTGGGTACCACTCCCTGCATCCCTGCGTCCCACAGCCCTCTCTGCCATGAGCACTGGCCGTGGGTCACACTCTGTCCAGGACCCCCATTTTGGCTGCAGAGGAGCCATGGCATTAGGAAGTAAAGGTCCGGTGATGTCCATGGGTGCCTGGGGGCTAAAGACACCCTCACTGGTGCTCCCAGGTGCCTCTTGAAGATGGGTCAGCCCTTAGGGGGCATGGGGAGGATGGGAGTTGGGGAATGGGGCTGTGGGGTGGTGGGGAAGGGCACGGGGTGGGGGGTCTCATGCCATCCAGCTAATTCTCCTCCCGGACAGGCCGGATCTTCATCTCGGTGAACTTGAGGGAGTACTGCCAGCCGGTCCAGGAGGACCACTCGATGCCATCGGCGTAGGAGCTGTGGTGGCCCTTGAGGTACTGCCCGTTGAGGTTGGAGGTGTGGCAGGTGCGGTACCACCAGGCGCCGTGGTAGAAAGCTGCGC